AAAACTAACAATACAAAAGGCAGAGAGGGAGGAAAACGAAGGGGGGGCTAGGGTTTTACATTGTGTGAAATTGATAGAAAATACAAAGAAAGGGAGACTTTAAATAGTCTTACAAGTAAACAATAGAATGACAAAACTACCCTTAAACTAATCTATTTATTACGTTAACAGGTTTATCATTGCTATCGTGTATGTCATGTGCAAATTTAAATCGTAAATTTGTTCGACTTTAGTAATTAAAAAGCATCCACATATTAAGGATGGTATTATGGTTATATGATACTTCCTGAACATTGGGAAGACACATAGCTCGACCCCCCTTGCAACATATGGCAGCTTGTAGAAGACAAAATCCTCACATTTATAATATCAGAATATATAGGAGAATGATGATGTTGTAGCACTGTGGGTAATAACTCTTGATACCTCATGGACTCATGAGACATTAGGAGTATCAACGAGTCAAGACGAAACTTGAAACTTGACCTCGACTCAAGTAAAAATAGTTCGGACTTTTTTTTTTTTACCCGAGTCGAGCCGAGCTTTTGTTCTACTAAAAAAATCTAGGCTTGACCCGAGCTTTCGGCGGCTCGCTCGCTATTTTAAAACAAAAAACAAAAAATCATGACAAATTAAATTTTTTTTTAAATAATTTAAAATTTGTGCAATTTATACGAATTATAAATTAAATAAAAGTTACAACATTCCTCATTTTTTGGGGTTTAAGACCGACTACAATTAACGTAGACATAATTAAAATTGTACACAAATAAAATATTTCGTGTACAATTTTTTTTAAACAAATGAATTTAAAATTTGCGTATAAAATTGAAATTTGACGTGCACGACACGTTGTCAAACTTTTTTTATTTTTTTTCACACTTTTTTTTAAAAAGTTTTGTAGGCACCTACAAATTTTATTTTTTTTTAGGTTCAGTTTGTTACGGGCCAAAAATGGCATGTGTGGCTAGTCGAGCCACACAGGCTAGCTCGAACTTGAGTCAACGCTCCAAAATGGGGCTCGGCCCGAGCCACGAGCTAGGTCGGCTCAGACTTTTTCCTGATCGAGCCACAGGCTACTAAGCCGACGAGCCAAATTGACATCTCTACAAGACATGCACGTAAATGAGCAAGTTTTATAAGCTTATAAAAACTATCAAATTTCCATTTCTAGGACTAGAAGTATAGAAAGAGGAGGAATAAAAAAGAGTGGGCAAAAAAGCTTTAGACATCCATACAAGTAAGAAAATTTCTTCACAAGTAAATATTTATGAGGTGAGTAACAAAATTCTTTTTCAGAAGTTAGAATTATGGGCAATCTACTTGGCCCTTGTTTGTCTACCATTATTTTAAAAAAATTGTTCACTACAGTAAGATTTCTCACCACACATTCACCAAATAAAATATTTTACACATAAACCAATAAAGTTACGTTACTTTTCAAACGCACATTTTTCAAAAAATACTATTCATTACTCTATTTTTCTCCTAATAATGAGAGACAAACACACACTTGGTGACTCTACTCAGTTGCATGACCAAGGACGCAAATTTTTCAATGGTGCCACCAGAAATGGAAAAATCTATGTTTTGTCAATTCTTCCATTCTAAAATCTAACCTTAGGTTAATTTTGACAAAGAAGGGTCATCGAGCTCGTGACAAAACGTCATGCAATTTTGGAGGTTATTATTTTGTAACATTGATAGATATATTACATTTGAGTTAAAAAAGAATTTTATTTTGAAAACAATTCTTAACATGTAACTTATTTCTAACTTTAAACCGTAAAAACTATTTGTATTAAAAAAGTATTTATTTATTTTTTAAGTAAATTTATTTGTAAAAAACAAAGATTTAAATAATCGTAATCCAAAACGGACCCCATTTTATCCTTGAATTGCTTGTAAAAGAGACACAAACCTCATACATAAAAGCGCACTCATGGATCTTCTTCGAGCTCTTTCCTGTAATGACTGCACTTCGCTTTATCCCAAACCGCCACTCCATCGGCGGCCATTTTTCTCCACCTCCATTTCACTATCCCTCAGAACGACGTCGGAGCTCCGATCCCAGGTGGCAGTCACGGGCCAAAATGGTACCAGCTACTCACTTGCAGTTCCAACCCACAAAGTCACCGTGCACGACCGCCAACGTGGCGTCGTCCATGAGTTCTTTGTACCTGAGGTATAAAATTATGTACCCTGTATGTTTGTTGGCATAATTTTATGTAGATTTTGTACAAATTGTAACTATTAGAAGATACCAGTGTTGACGAAGAGATACGAAGCTGGCCTTCCACGAGAAATGCGAAACACAATTATTGTCATTACACAGATTTATATGTTGTGTGTTTTTTTCTTTTCTCTTGTATGTGCATTTTGTACAAATTATAGCCGTTTTGGGTACATTTTAGTCTTACAATCTGTGTGTAAGGGGAGTGTGCCTAAAGTGCTTATAAATTATAACACACACATTCGATGAGTAATGTGGGGTGCAATTTGAGTTACTAAGTATGTTGTTTAATAGTGAATTACATTGAAATGCAGGATCAATATATATTACACACAGCAGAGTCTCAGAATATAAATCTCCCATTGCCTGTAGGCACGGTATTCTTCTATCATTCATTATATATTCCGAGCAATTTCTTCGTATCGTATTTGAGTATTTACAAATTTAAATGCAATTTTGCGCAATTCCAAGGATTGAGTTAGACAAGTTTTAAGCTTTTGTGATTTTGAGAAGGAGGGGAAGATGGAAAGGGAAAAATGACTTCATATTCTTTTTTAAAATATGATTTAATTGTGGGTTCTAGATAAATTATATGCTAGCTGCATTTCCTTTTGACGGGTATGTTGAAGGAAATCTGGAGCTTTCCACGAACTGATCCTTCTAGCTTGTTATACTCTCAATTTGCAACACAAAACATGTAAGGAGTAATGTAAGAGCCATCCAGGGTAGGCACAATGGTGCTCTAGTCAGGAAATGGATTTTATCTAATGTACAAAAAGTTTAACTTGTGTAGTAATACACAGAGTGAATGTTAAATGTAACACCTTGTATTGTGAGCCTTTGGACTCATGCCTATTTGGTGCATGGGGTAGTGACCTTTCTGCCTTAAGTTTTAGGAATAATGTTTGGAGTGGTCTTAGAAGTAAGAGGTTTCCAAACCCTCCAACGTTCACTCCGCACCACTTCCCCTAAATGACGACATGACATATTAGTTGGCTTTGACCAAGTTCTAATGAGATTATCTTGACCAAAATTTTATGTTTTGACTGAGTTGCTGAATTCGACTTCTTCGTAAGCTGCCAATTCGATAGTGCTGGATGGGACTCAAATATTCAATGGTGAAGAAGGGTGCTAGGCTGCTAGCTAAGTTATCTCCAGTGCACGATAGGGCCCCCACTACTAAACCACCTTGAGGGGAAGCGGAAAAGTCATTTCCACCCACAGAGAGAAATTGCTCGTATAATTCCTTTTGAAAATGTGATTCTACATAAGGGGGCTTTATGTAGAACTTAATAACTACGTCAAAATTCAGAAATTTGGTCAAAATAAGCTGATATGGATCTGGGGAAAGCCAACTGCCCTATCACATCTTTGCTCTAGAGAAACCGGGTGGAAGTTGGAAACCTCCCACTTTTGAGACCACTTCAAGCTTGATCCTCCAAAACTCTAGGCAGTAGGGTCACTGCCCAATGAATTAAGGAGGTGTGAGTGCAATACTCAGTGTACAAAAAGGTACACTGGTACATGTAACATTCTGCAGATTACTAAACTTGTACTTTTTTACATTTAGCCAAATTTTATTTCATGACTTGAGTTTATGAGTGCCTATGCTGGGGTTGCTCCTGCATTTCTCTTGACGTACCTGTCCCAGATTGCGAGTAATGAGCTAAAAGTCTGAGTTCATTGAAAGCTCCAGGTTTCCCTAAACAGTTATGATGGCGAATATGTAGCCAACTTGTTATCGTTATCTATTATAGCTGATCATTCTCTAGATTCCCACAGTACATTGTTTTTTGAACTCCAATTTATGAGTTCAATTTATCTTATTTTAATTTTCTCAAACGTGTAGTTACTGTATTCTACTCCACTGCTAGTTTATTTCCTATTTCTTACCATGTCCTAGGATTTTAATTTTTTACTTCATATAAAGCTTTGTAGAAAGTAAAAATTTCTTACTAATGTACGACTTGCGCTCGCATCTAAGACAGATTCTTCTGTAATTGATTTCATTTGCTTAGTGTGAATGTAACATTGCTAGCAATACCAAATTCAAATAAGAAAAGAAAAATGAGTTTTTATGGAAATAATCATATTAAATAGCGAATTTCTAATATTTTTGTTCTTTCTTTGTCCCTTGTTCATGGTTTAAGGCTGCTTCCAGTAATTTCATGCAGAGAAATAATATCAGCTAGATCTTTTCTTTCCGGAATGTGTATTCTTATCTAATTTCTTCAAAATACAACTCATAATGTTGCAGGTTGTTGTACTAGCTGTGCCGTTCGTGTAAAATCTGGGCAACTCAGACAACCAGAAGCACTAGGGATATCTGCTGAATTGAAATCAAAGGCACGAGATATTCCTGCTCTATAAACATATCAGAAGCATTAGGGATACTTAACCAATTAAATCAATTCAATAGGCCTTTTTCAATTATTACGTCCACTTATATTACTTCACATCGTCGTTTGGCCAGGATGAGCTCAGTTTTTGATAATCTTAAGTGTACTACAAGTTCAATATTCCAACGTCCTGAAGAAAACCTAGTCAAGAAAATCAAGCATGTAGAAACCATATAAAGATTTTGTCAATGAATTGTTGACTTCAGTGAAGGAGGGATACTAAAGATTTACAAATGGTTTTAAGGAAAAGTAACTGAGATTCTGCTCGACTTCTGATATGTATTTTATTCCCCTTAGATCATATAATCCCTGTTTCTCTACCCGCATTTCCCTTTGATATTGCTGACATCTAATTGTATATTCAAATCTATTCTTCTGAGATATAGGGGTATGCACTTCTCTGTGTGGGCTTTCCATCATCTGACCTAGAAGTTGAAACTCAAGATGAGGATGAGGTAGTATAAATAAATTTCTCCATTCAAGTTGTTAAATACATTCTACATGTATTAGAACAGATTAAGAATCAAATAGTGTAGACCTAATTTTGAAAGAGAGCATATTTGTACATTGGATTTCTATTATATTTCCAGTAGAAGTTTGTGACAAGCATTCTGTCACTCTCTGGTAGAGTATTAACAATGTCTAATGTTACCAAGCAAGCTGATTGGTTGCTATTGTAAATTACAGTTTTACTAATTGATTTATGATATCTGGTACACAGAGATATTAAATTATGATTTTCGCAGGTGTATTGGCTTCAATTTGGACGATATTTTGCCCGAGGACCTATTGTAAGTCCTACATTTATGATTTATCTTAAATCTTTGGCTCAGTAACATTTCTCGAACCCAAAAAGAAGAAAAAAGAATAAGGAAAAATTAATTAACATAGAAAAGAACTTAAAATCAAAAGAAAAGGGTTTCTTCTGCTAGTTATCATGTTGTGTTTGGTTATTGCAGGACAGAGATGACTATGCATTGGAGTTAGCTATGGGAGATGAGTAAGCTGTGTTCAAGTGGCCGTGGACTCAAACATCACCAAGATGCTACGGAAAATTCAAGTCAAGTCTATAAGTTTATTCATAATACATTGATGTAGAGGTATTTTGAAAGTGCAATGTTCTTAACATTATCATAAAGCTAGAATGAAAAGCATTTATAATTCATTGATGTAGAGGTGTATTGGCTTTACTTGTCTAAATGATCAATTGGTTGCTTATTCTTTTGATGATAAATGATTTTGTTCTTGAATTGCTAAGCATTGCTCTTAAATGGGGATTCAATTGCATGAATAGCAAAACATAAGGGATGCTCTGCTCGAGTTTGTTCTGTCAAGGAGAAGAATGTGTATTCATTCTGGTAGCGTCTATGAAGCTTTTATTATAATTTACTAGTTCATATCTTTTAACCATAATGATTTTTTTGAAGAATGTATAATTAAAAAGTAGGAAAAAAATTTTGAGTTTACGTGCAAAATATGTTATTGTATGAATGTTTGATTGAAAATGAATATGGAGATTTTTTTATTTTTTTTTTAAATAATGGATGTCAAACAGGGGCTAATTATCGAGTAAATAATGATTTATGATATAAATCGAAAACTCATTTAATAAATAAATAAGCCAGTTCACCGCATTTCTGATTTATATTTTCAAAAGAAAATAAAAGTAACAATAAAGGAAATAACAAGTACAATACAGCGAAGATCAATACAGAATATTTAAATAAAACAAAATCTGATATACAAAGTATTTTATTCTCCCTGTTATAATAAAAATTAAAAAGTAAATATGGAGCTAAAATATCCAAAGCTCCATAACAGATTCAAGTCTCCACCATATATATACAACAACTTGAGCATATTGCACTCACCAGTCCGCGTCACAGAGAGAGAGAGAGCTTCATCATCCATGCTTGCCATAACGATCTCTGTCACGTTCCCTCTCCCTAGACCCTCGGGAACGCCTCGACTCCTCGCCCTCCCACTTCTCAGCAACAGCCGGAGGTGATGACGAAGTGTACCTTGATGGCCTTCTCTTGAAATGCCTATCATCATCACTGCTCTCGTATTCCATAGAATCAACAGCACTTTTTCTTGACCCAGGCACTACCTTGTGCTCTTCATGATACACATTAGATGCCGACACCCTGTGGCTTCCAGAGATGCTGCCTGGTGCTGCACTAGTAGAAGACGACAACTTTCTTTTCTTGGAAGCTGCTACATCTTTTTCGGGAAAACTAATGCGAGAAAATACGCTTGTTTTTTGCTTCTGGTCAGACGTCAAGGTACTACTGGCCAATGCTACAGGTGGTACTGATGGGGGAGGTTTAGCAGCCGATGATGACTCCAATCCATGGTGGCTGCTGCGGTTATGATAATCACGATGCTTATGGTTGTCGGGATAGTCATGGCGGTGGTAATCTTCTTGGTGATGGTAGCCATTGTCACGGTGGTGATGATCATAGTCGGATTTACTCTTGGACAATGGGCGAGGATCTCCTCGCTCATCTTGTTGATGATAGCCATCAGAGTTGCCACGGTGGTGGCCATCATACTCGGATTTTCTCTTGGATGAGAGGCGAGCAAGTTCAGTGTCACGGGTGCGTCCGTCTAGGGATGATCTCTCAGGTCGTGGGGGATAGTGCTGATGATGGTCTCCACTAGGTGGAGGGTGAATAGACTTCTGCATCAGCAAGAGAGAAAAAGTGAAAACATTAACTTCAGAACCAAATTACTTCCAACAAATTTTATGCAAATTATTGCACCAAACAAATTCCAATCCCCCATCTTAATCTTACAACTGACCTCCAATCTAGCTAGATTTCTAATTTCTCCTGGTCAATCAGCTAAATTCTCTTGGTTAATCACTTTTTGTCGCATCACCAGTACATAGCATCAGAATTCACACATCAGTAGGCACTGACAACGTATATTCATGGGAAAAAATTTCCTTATGACACTGATTATTGGCACATCACAATCCAAATCTATTGAACATCAACAAGGCCATACTAAGACCAAATGTTCCTTGTCAGATTTAAGCCAATTAGATTTAAATAGAAATTCGGATAAAAAATTATTTGTACAAGACTTTCTAAGATCTTATTCAGTAAGTGATGCGGGCGGTTCAGAATTAAGCTCCGTAAATTAAGGCAAATAAAATCCAGTAAATTAAGGCAAATAAAATCCAGTGACCAAGGGGAAGAGGATAGGGTGAAGTTTACAGGAGATGGAGTTAAAAAAAGGAACAATTGGAACGAGGATGAAAAGACAAAAAAGGAAAGGTCAAAAAGAAAAAAATCTAAAGAAGTACTGGTATCTCCTCTTCTATGCCACCCACTTAAATTCCATTTCATTGCTGATGTAATGTAAACTTCAAATCAAACAAGCACTCAACACTGGAAGGGAAAATATTCCAAATTTTATTAGATATCCCAATCCACTGATTTCGGCAAACACAGGCATTAAGGGAGGCGTAATGACAAGATATAAGAACACCCCCCCCCCCCCGGGGGGGGGGGGGGGGTCATTTTAAAGCATAACCCTAATTCTAACAGCAGCTGCCAGAAACAAATCAGCCTTCTCCTTAATCATGAACTCTTCCTGCATAGTCCACAATCCACATATGTAACATAGAAAAGTTAGATAGCAGAACTACGTACTGATTTGGATTTCAACGAAGAAACACTGCCTGCGCTGCTCATTTCTCTACCATATTCCCAATCCTTAGATAACTCCCTGAAAAGTAAATGATAGGAGCAATTGTAATGCACTAATCATAATTAACTTGAGTAGGTTACAAAAACCCAAAACTTAAATCCAGTATGAATATAAATTGATGCATCATGAAGATGAGGTTCTAAATAATCAAAAGACACGAGGAAAACAACATGAAGGCCAAAAAAATTCAACTGAAATCAAGTGGAGCATAATAATTGGTTAGAAACATATTCCAAAAGGTTGATGTGTTCTTAATACCTAAACTTGCAAGAGAACCTATTAAAAAGTTCAACTGCTAGTCCAAGCAATCATATTTTTCAAGTCCACATAATTAAGTTCAAGTTCAACAAAAAAAAACTATACCTTTGAAGTTAAAATAGAAAATAAAAGCAATTTGTCCTTAAAAAAATATACAGGATAACAGAATTCACAAAAAAAGATAAACAGTGTCATCAGTCATGGAACATAAAGTAAAGAAATTTAAAATTATGACATTACTGAAAACAGAATGCAAAGTGGGTCCTCTTTACCTATTACAATTCCTCTCCATTTCATGCTTCCTTTTGAGATCAGCTTTCTGAGCTTCAAAATCCTCTCTGTTCATTTTCCGTGGCCCAGCATTAAATCCCATTGCTAAGTCCGCAAGGTCCCTGATATCATTAAAAGCTTATGAAACAGTTACACATTATTCATATCAGAGAAAAACCTTAACGAACAGGCATTTTGTATAGCAGTGAAACTCCCCACCCCCGGCGGTCAACACTAAAGCAAAGTAGCTGAACCACCATATTCCATGTCAGAGATACATGTTCACCCTCAAACGAGATGCACAAAGAAAAAGAAAACCTTATGTGCATGAAATGTGTGAGAGAGAGAGATTTATAGAAGTTAAACTGAATCATACCTCTGAGGTGGGCCGGCATACGGCAACATACAACCCGGTCCTGCAAATGGATCAGGAGGTAAAACACCTCTGAATGCAAGATCCATATGACCAAACCCACCACTATATGGCATAGGACCACCATAAGGGGATACAAATGCCTCCGTTCCAGGTTGGATGCCTGTCCAATATGGATTATAAGCACAATGCCCCATAGACATCATGTAATTCTCAGCTGCAAGGTCCTGGCTAGTTCTCCATTGCATCTCTGCAACTGTATATAAGAAGTTAACAGAATAATATCAGTAATGCTAGATGGGGGAAGGATACATTTTGTTAGGCCAAAATTCAGAATAACTGAATAAAGTAAGAGCTAAAAAGTTTAATACAAGAAAACCGAATAATAGTAGAAGTCAAAAATAACGTCAAACGAAAAAGAAACCAAATCATTACCATTAGGAGGTAAGTGCATTCTCTTTTTTTTCTTCTTCTTTCCTGATATTCAATAGATCAAAAATCATGCCACAAGTCTAAGAACTAGCAAATATTGTCACGTCACTTATTTACGAATGTTGCTTAAAAACAAATTTCCGAAAAGTAACTTCTTTCATGTCTAATATAAGTTACGAATAATCAGTGAATAACAAGCTTGTTAATTAAGGTAACACCATTTGCATTATTTACCTGCATCCCCAGAGAGGGGTTTCTGCTGCACTTCTTCATCAGCCAATGGAGCACTAACCTGTGATGCTGGTTCCTTAAAACTTAGAACCTCATGTATAACTTCTGAAACATCTGCCACTTTTGAAGTTCTAACTTTCTCAACTTTCTGGTCTGGAGCAACCAGTGCCTTGTCCTCTTCCGCAATCTCAACTATCTTTGAAATCTCTTCCTTTTGAGGAGGGAGCGGTCTTGTTGCCACTTGCTCTCCTTTCGAGGAGGCAGACTGTGTAGGAGATAAACCCTGACGATGAGGATTGCGCGACTCCATATCTGAAACCAAAAGGTAGTTATACAAAATTGATCATTGTAAATAAAAATAGACAAGACTCACTAGCAACTACAAACCTTGGACTTGAACGTTATTCCAGCCATTTTCGGCACTGCTGTTATTGGACTCGAGGATTCGATTTATAGTATCCCTTACTGTCTTGTTGGGCAACAGATCATCCGCGAGGATATTTGATGCCCCACAGACGCAAATTGATTTAGAAATGATGTAATCTCTTATACCTAAAGAAAATATCCAAAAAGCAAAATAGCTTCGTCACTGTCAGCATAAAGGAAAAGAACAATAATAAAAAAACGCTTAACAAAATCAACATAAAAAGGCCCACATTGTCCCCTCTTCAGTTCTAGCTCCAAACATCTCATCCTCTACTTCCAGAATGAAGAAAAGATACCAAGAAAATGAGCAATCATCAAGATGTTGCATAGCAATAGTGATGCATGGGTATCAAAATAATCATGGAAAATGAATTATTTGTCATAACTACAAGCATCGAGCTTACATTTATAACAGAAACTCCTAAAACAACACTTGCTCGTAAGCACAGCATCTTTCATTACTTCTTTGCATAAAGGGCAATGGAGTTCTGGTGGAAGATCAGCAACAGAACGCGTAGAAGGCATCCCTTCAATTTCTTTTTCAAAGGCAGCCCTGCAACAAATCCAAGAAAAGACAATATTTTATTAAGAAAATATACTAACAAGGTCAATATGAATTGTTAGAAACTGCTTACTCATTTGGCTTCAAAGCTGCAACAGCCCCACTTGGTAATGCATATGAGCCTTCAGGTGTAGCCATTAGCATAGACTTTGGAATTCCAGTGGGAGGTTTCACTATTTTAACGTCATAATTTGGATCTCCATTTGTTGGGCAGTGTTGTATAAAATGCCCTATATAAAAATATTTTATCAAGTACGCATTTTGGTAGTGCATTTGTTCCATCCAAGAACTTTTATTTACTTGAGTGTTAAAAAAGAAACAATCTATATTTGCAGGTACGCTGACATACCAGGCACCTTGCACCTGTGACATATGTATCCCAGAGGTGGTGTTTTTCGATCGAATCCACCTCGACCTAGAAAAACAGAATGTGACTTTCAGTTTTTTACAGCATACTTGTAGACAACAAAACTAATGATCAAACAAAAGCATTAATAGAAAACTATAATTCTAACCATATGGACAATTCAAATATTTTGGTCATCTTTAAGGAGAATGATGTAGGACAATACCATTATGAATAGGATAAAAGTTAGTTATTGCTATAGTAGGATTTTTGTTTCTTTTAAAATAATTTTCTTTTCATTCCTTTTATGATTTTAGTTTCCTTTCATTATATTGATAAAATTAGGGAATTATTTTGCCTATATAAACAAATGCTTTGTACACTTTTCAATGAACAAATTCATTATAACCAAATTATTCGCTACATATTTTCAAGTTTTTCCACTTTATTCTTTCAAGAATTTCAATTCCACTTCAGAGAAAACTACGTAATTTTATGGTTATTCAAAAGATACTGTTTATCTTTTAGTTTGGAAACAACTAATGGCTTTTAACAGTATACATTGGGGAAAAAACAATTAAAATTAACGGATAAGGCATAGAAAAACAATTAAGTCCCTACATTCCAACAACACAGAAAAAACTTGTTGCAAAGTACTTTTATCTCAAGTAAGTGAAAAGAAAAGGAGAATCACCAAAACCACGTCCCCCCATCATTCTTCCACCCATGCCCCGTTCAAAACCTCTACCAGAGCCAAAACCATTAGAAGATTGCCTGCAAATTCAACACTAACAAAATATAAGCCTCTGAAACAATCAGCTTCTGGAAAAGGAATCCTCATTGTTATTGCAAAAGTACGTGCTACAAAAAGATTTCTCACCGCTGCCAGTCTAAGGTTGGTGTGTCAATCAAAGCCATGATCTTGCTATCCTCATCAGCTCTATTAGTAGGAGCATTCTGAACTGGATTACTAGATTGGACTGGCATGGGGTTGGGTATCGCATACAGATCATTTCCAAATTCATCCCATTCTCCCTCTTCAATCTGCAAGCATGTGATTATATATTTCAGTATGTTTAGGTGCTAAAACAGAGATACGAACATCAGGTTAAAACAGATTCTTCTGCTATTCTGAATGAGATATTCAGGTTCTTGCTGAACAGATATCTAATTAGAAGCTTACATATTGCATGGTAGATGAATCAGCTCCCGCAAAACTACTTTTTATAGCATGAACACCCACAGAATTATCTTCCACCTTTGGCCTACATTATAGATCACAGAGACTCAAATCATTTAGAGTTTCTTCAAAGGCCAAAAGAGTACAATAGTTTATTTTCTTTCCGATCCTTTATTTCCCGCAGATAATCTGTTGAGTCCTTTAAGGACTAACACACCACCAACTGGTTCCACAACATATAAACTCATTGGGCTTATCAAGAATGTGGCTAGCTAAACCATGGCCATCATTCCTGTTTTTGAGAATATCTATATTTTCACCCCTATTTAAAGAATAAAGTTTAATGTATGACAAGATATTAAACTACATATATGAGTTAAAAAGGATTGAGACAATACTCGTCTTGTTCAGAGATTGGTGCAGTAACTATGGGCATCCGAGGTCGTCCAGGAACACGGCGGATTAGGACTGAAGTATTTTTTGGAATTAACATTTCTTCATCAAGGTACTCTGCAATCCACAAAACAGTAAAAAGAGTCTATAAAAACCTCCAGAACAGTATGCACATACAACCCCAAAAAACACAACTACATTTAATCCCCCAATATATGTGACGCATGGTGTGGACCCCTTAAACTCATAAATTGTCATCACCACCGTTCTCCAACCATCATCCTTATCTCCCTTAACCAAGCAAGAAGAACCAATCCTTGCAATACAAGTAATCTCTCTCTCAAACTCAACCTCATTAACCCAAATATAATTTAGTCCAATCTCAACAATTACGAGGTTCAACAAAAATGTACAATTATTTCTCAAATATTTCCTTCCAACATGTCAACTCGCGTGATTACCATGGACACACCTATTGGAAGTAAAGCTATCGAAGTATTTCTGAACCAATCCCGTCTTACAAAAGTAGACACACACTTGATGCAAGTACCAAAGCCATCTATCCTATGACATAATTTTGAAATTAATGGTCAAGAAAGTGAACCAAAATGGTAGGCACATACATTCTTAAAAGGTGTAACTAATCTTTAAAGTGTTTGTGTGCCAGTGCCCATCAACATTTAATCTCAGCAGAAACGTGAAACAAAAAGCACATTCTTCTCATTGTATCCACAACATAAATAAGAATGCATATAAATGTAAGTGCCTGGTCAACTTCCACATAGAACACTAATACACTTGCAAACGCTGTAAGCGTTTGTCAACTTTGTATCAAACACCGATAATTTAGCTAATGCCAGTAAAGAAACTAATCAGGTTCCAAAACTACTGATACCCAATGTGCAACCTCTCTTGTTCTTACATAATAACTTCGATAAAAGAGCATTACCTCACTGATCATTATTTTGGGACGATAAAGCCAAGAGGATAACTTTATCATATTCTAAAACCAAATACGACAGCAATTTCTAATCTAATATACTCAACTAACATAAAGATAGTTCTTAAGTAAAACAATAAGGGACGGCAACAATTAGTCACACTCAAAAAAATTGTTTTAAATTGAATGATTTTCTAGAGAATCAAACCAACCTTCGTCAGTCTGCGCATTCGTTATAACGAGGTCAAAGTCAGTACCCCTGCCCAATTGCTTTGATTCAAAAACTTTTTCTTTCAGATATCCAACAGATATAAAATGACCATCAATTGCAACCGAGTCGTAATCTTTTGCACTTTTAAATTTATAGTACACTGCCATATTGATTTTCTTTAACTGATTAAAATTTCTCTCTCTTTTCTCTCAGGAAATCAAATCACGAGAAGAAAAAATTTGTTGAAGAAAAAATAAAAGGCCTGCATTCAACTCAAATAAGAGGAAAAATGGAAACTAGTACAATAAAATACAAGAAGCTCTCTTTTTCTTTTTCTCTTTCCCAATAAAAGATAAAACCTGCTCAATTAAGAGCTATGCGGCAAATTCAATTGCCTTTGGATCCTTTCAAAAATTCCGGAAATTCTAAAGGATTCTTCAACAACACAATGGTACAGAGCATCTGCATCTGATGATAAATCAAACGTCTGAATCAAAGTTACACTCCATGGACGGACCAGTTCTCGAACAGATCCGGTAGATTAAAACACGCTGCCAAAAATCTCATTCCTTCGATCATTCTGACGCCAGTTGATCGTCCAAATTGACGTTCAATTTTAGATAATCCGCCAAATTTCGCCGATGATTTGCTAAATTAAAAATCCAAACAAGCAGCTTCCCTTGATATGCTTTTGCTCCGTAGAAACGCCTTGAATTGACTGCCTGATCCTTCGGAAAGCACGCGAACTAAATCGAGAGAAATTTACCGACTTCATAGAAATCCATTGCAATAATTAGGAATCAATCGAACAAAAATAAATATGCAATCGAAGAAACTTCAATCTTTCAAAAATCCACAGTAATTGGGGAGACAGGATTTAGGGTTCTGGAGAGAGCTTTTTTTGGGAGGAAATAGGTATGAATTAGGGTAATTAAAATTGGAACAATAACATTCGAATTTATCCACTTTTGGGCCCAAAGCCCACGAGGATTTGAGTTGCTCTTTGAGTTATCAGGTGGTGGAAGGGTCCCAGACTGTAAATTCCCTTGAATTTTCTTTTTAAAAGGTAAAATATTATTGAAAAGGGTAATTGGCGCAAAACTTTCCTACCTTTAGTAATTATTGTGGAAAACGTCCCTACATTTGATTTCTTGGCGTATAAGGTCCCTACCTTTATCTTTTCTTGGGCAAAACGTTCTTTCGTCCACAAACCGTTAGAATTCACCGTTAAATTTAAAAAATGGATTTTTATTTTCCACAAGGGTAAAACCGTCCAACCACCATAACTTCACAGCACTTCACGCCTATCTCGCCTTCTTCTTCTTCAAAAGTTATGCATAAACTAAAAAGTATAAGTAATAAAAAAATTAATTTGGATGATGTTGTAAAAAATAAGGAAAAATGATGGAAATCACTATATTTTTGGTTGAACTTCATCATGACCGATGTAAATCTAAAAAAATAAAAAATTGGAATGGTATATGAAGAGATTGACTGTGGTTGATAAAATTAAGTTGTCCATCCCCATATTGTGCTGACGAAGGGTGTAAATAAGGGATATAGTGAGAAGAACAATTAAAATGTGCTTCTGTGAATGGAGGTTTCGAATAAGAATAGAGAAGATGATGAATATGAACGGGTCTTCTTCCCAATTTAGCATGAAATTGTCTTTGCGAGAAACATCCCTACCTTCTCATTATCTTTGCGAGAAACATCCATATCTTTACATTGTATTGGTGCAAAACATCCCTACCTTTACATTGTCTTTGCGTAGAACACCCCTACCTTTAACAAAAATTGTGCAAAACGTCCTTGCCAGATACAACCCACAGACCCTGTTTATATGACTTACAACTCGCTATCCCTAACACCCATTTCAAACACATCAAAACAAATAATCAACAACCAAGCTCAATAACCAAACCTAGAAAATTAAACTACTCAACAATCAACCTCAATAACCTAAACTCAGCAACAAAATAGCCAGATCATATAATATTGCAGTCAATGAAGCAAAAACTAGTACACTTTCTGTCCAGTTCAAAAACATCAACAAAACATATACAATTCAGCATATCCTACAGCAATTACTATTGTAGTGAATGAACCTTAACCATATACAATTCATGTGCAGTGTGATTCATTGAACAAAAAACTGATTTTTTTTTTTTTTTAAAAGCTAAAACCAGTAGCATATATTAATTCTGTGCTGGTGGTGGTGCCCCTTTGCAGGTCCTACTATTGTGTCCTCGTGCACCACATTTTTTACATGTCATTATCATCCCTGCTCTTTTCCTTGGATCTGATGTGGCTGTAGCTGACTGACTCTGACTTAAAGAAGTCTTTCTAGACCTCTTTGACTGACTTGATGTCACTTCATTTGGCTCTTTCCTTCTATTTTTTTTTTTTTTTGGCCTTCTAACTCTTTTTGTGTACACTGGTGATCGAGAGGATTGAGACTTGGGTTAGACCATGAGTTCGAGCCTGTGATGGGGGAGATGGATAGAGTATAAGTCATGAGGTATGTCTCCTTCTTGTAGATGCCATCTACATACTCCATTACATTAAGGCCCTTCGATGCAACCAGGGCAATAACATGGTGATAAGTGCGTTTTTACATATTTTACTGTCAAAATATGAGCAATTGTTGATTAATATGTTGGAATATAGTTTAATTCTATGCAATTCATATATTGCAGGACAAGTGATGAATGTAGCTGAAATAACAAGCAACAAGTTAAAAATAACCAAAATGGAGGATAACAAAAGTTAAGGGACAAAAAATATGTTATCAAGAACTAGCAGTCATACGAATGATAAGTACGTTTTACATACTTATTTTACTGTCAAAACATGAGCAATTGTTGATTAATATGTTGGAATATAGCTTAATTCTATGCAATTCATGTTTTGCAAGACAAGTGATGAATTTAGTGAAATAAGGAGAAACATGTAAAAAATGACCAAAATGGAGGAAAGTGAAAGTTTAGGGAGTAAAGTGCAAATACTACAAACTTGTTTCCAACCTTGTGATGAAGATTCGAGAGTGTTAGAGGTCACCTAGATGAAAAAAGGAGTCAGATGGGTGAAATATAGTCAAGACATTATCTCATATCAACTTTCAAGCTGAAAAGTTTTGCACCGATTTTCAGCCTCATATGGAGACTAGTTTTTGACATGGTAAACAATGGAATTGGAAGTTGACATCTGAAGTAAAGTTATAGCCCTTTAAGTTATATTTCCAAAGAATCTTAAATCACTTCAATCGGAAATTGGGAACGAAAATTATGACCAAAATACTAAAAGCTATCCAGCGGGAAAAATACATAACCATGCGATCGCATGGTGTTAATCCCATGCGACCACACACAAGCATTCAGGGACTTTAAAGGCTGAAATTATTTGTTTCTTGCGACCGCATGGGTTTATGCCTTACAATCGCATAGAGTATTTTCAAGGCAAAAATTATGATTTCCGAATTTAAGTCAACCA